AGCCTAACAGCCCGCCAATATAATACAGAGCCGATAAAAAATCAATGAACGACACAACGAAAAACAAACACCAGCGACTGTAAATTAATCTACCAATGATGTTATCTACAAGTTTACTTGGTGCGGCCTGTTATATAGTTTTAATGTACTTATATGCGCAGAATATAATTGATATACATATATATATATATATATATATATATATATATATATATATATATATATATATATCAATTAAACATTTGTATAGTGACCGTTTTGATATTTTAGTATTCTAACAGGCACTCCCAACAACTTGAAGAAAATATAAACTAAATGTCATCTAATTGTAATACTAAATTACAATCGTACTTTTAAGTAAATTTAATTAATTATAGACATCTCCTTTTTGTGTATTTGATGGCTTGACATCAGTTGGATTGTTGCTGATGCCGAATTTCCACTTTTCCGATGTAAACAAATTCTGGCTAGGGTGCTTTATTTACGATCGAATTGGAAAATTCGCTATCAAGACAATTGATATTTGTCTGATTTTACAGGGGTATTCTTTTTAAGAAACAAAATAAAACAGGGTACTGTTTCGATGTTGATCGTTGTTTTCTGGTGGTCAACAGAAGCTTCGCATAATTTTTGAATCATGAATATGCGAATCAATATACATATATGTATGTATATATCATGTTACTGGATGACCTTAAATTATGCGTTTGGGCAATGTGCACTCAAGATTGGATTACTGCAACAGCCTGTTGCATGAACTAGCTGATAGGTTTATTGCAGTGTTACAATCTACACAAGATTGAATTGCCAAAAGTGGAGTCTGCGTTTGCTTTATCTAGTCTTTTTTTCTAGATGTCTTTTTCCTTTTTTAACGACTACTTGATTTAAAAACTGACTGACTGATCGACTGACCAACTGACTAACTGATTGAGTGACTGACTGATCGACCGACCGATCGACCAACCGACTGGCTGGCTAACTGACTGACTGGCTAGCTGACTGATTGATTGAGGCTGAAGTACAGTCATGTGATATCAATACATAGAACTATACTGGTTAACTGTCCACAGAAGAATAAATTTTAAGATATCTACCAAAAAATCAGAAGCCAAACAAAGCCAACTAGTGAAGACACGTACTAAAGAAGTCACTCAAAACCTATATAAACAGACAGTGGCAGATCTAGGGAAACCAGAATTTTCCCCGCTGTCATCAAGTTTTTTGTAAATTCCCCCGGTCATCANATTTTTGTTGAAAATTCTTTCCTTCTTCTCCCCCGGTCATC